TCAAAACATTGGGGCCAAAGAAGGTACATCCATGAACTACATTTGGCCTGTAGCTGCTATTTTGTAACTTCTACCTAGAAGCCAGATTTGCAGAATTGAAATGGATGGACTTCAGCACCCATCAAGCAGACATCTTGAGATTCAATTTGCTAAGCCAAAGAGTGACACTTCACCTCCATGAACCCTGGCTCAGTCTGCATTATAAGTTTGAAATGTCATTTCTTTCTTCTCTAGCCCGCCCTTAGCTGCTGCTTCTCAGTAGAGAAAGAAATCGCTTCCCACCCTAACCCTAGAATAAAGCTATTACTTAGTGCCTGAAGAAAATGCAGGGACTCCTAAAATCCAGCTCATTATTATTTGTACAATATGATCAGGTAGAGGAAGCCAGGCTGAAGTCCATAGGTGGCTGCAGAGGAGACAGGCTGTGGGGAATTGTATTGGCAGCATCCTTCAGGAGGGTCAGATTCTACAAGGCGTGTACACACCTTGCGGACAGCTAAGTGAAAACGATGTCAAAACCACTGGTCACTTGATTCGATTCTGCTCAATTGATTATTGTAATTGGATGACAGACTGATTTTTCTTTCTCCTTTTCAACTGGTGTTGGTGAGTGAGCAGATCTGGCCCATGATTCATTCTTCTGGGTAGTTACCCAATGGGGAATATTATCTATCTCCTTTCACAGGCAGAACTGTGCCTGCCTTTTGGCTGCCTAAAGCATAAAACCAGGTCCAACCGAAGTCAAATGCCAGGAAATTTCAGTATTTCCTTGCATTTCATATTGCATTGTCCACAAAGGTCTTTGAAATGTTCCCTGCTCTAATACTCAGAGGGGAAACATAGTTGAAGAATAAAATAGAACAGAAACAACTATAGTAGGGAGAAAAAGGTGGAAAGAAAGAAGGAAAGATACTCACTGCAAAATGACAGGATTTCTCATTGGGGGAGCTTATAGCAAATAATTGGGAATGAGGAGACTAGTTTGGTTTTAATGGAGCTGCTATACTGAAGTTCTTTAAAATATGAGCTATGGATTCAGAATTTTGTAATGCTGTGAATGGAGCCCTCTTCTGGAGAAATTTTTCAACAGCTGTTAAAACAAGATCAAAACACACAGAGATGGACACAAACACACACATGCAGAGGAACAGGAAATACTCTTGGTTATTTAGATGATATGTCGTTCATATGTGAATCGAATCCACCATTTGTCCTTTTCCTTACCTTTCATCAAATAGAAATTAACTCTACTCCTTAAGAAACTGTCTTTTGGAAGGAGGGAATGAAAAAAAAAAGGGTATTCTCATGAGCCTAGCTATATTTTTACCTAAATAGTGAACTTTGAACTGAGACTCAATGTACAATCTAAATGCTGGTACTTTTAGATAATGCAGTTATTGAATATATTGGTTTGTTGGGCAATTTCATTATAACACATAGAGAATAGTACTAGAGGAAATAGATTTTATTTAATGGTAAACCAAAGGGCTAAAGATAGAAAAGGGGAGAAGGGAGGGAGGCAGAGAAGGGGAGATTAGCTAAGATGACTGTTAGGGCTTTTAATATAGACTGTGGCATTACATAAATTCCAATCACATATTTAGCCTTGTAGTTTATTAAATCTCATTGGGGACTTGCTAAAAAAAAATTGTTTGGATGCATTAACTCTACCACTTTGATTTCTCTCACCACTATTATATCTCCCTGTTCTCCCCGGCATTTTCGAAATCTTACAGGCTATCACATGGTGAACTCTGATCAGGGCAGGGTTGCTACTGCAACTCTCAGTCTTTTCATTAAAAAAGTTCTACAAATAAACACCACCCTTAAAATACAATATACGAAGTCACAAAGGGACCAGAAAACACTGATTCTCACTTAAAATCCTGAAAATCAAGGTTCCAACTCCAAGAACGAACTAGCATTTTAAATGAACATCTTGGAATTCTGTGGAACATTTTTAGTCACTCCCAAGTGACTGCTCTCTAAATCTGAACCACTCCCTAAAACTTTAATTCTTGGGGGATTATTCATTCATTGTTAGAACTTTGGGCTAGTTATGATAACCTAATAGGGGGAAAATCATATTTACAGTGGAATTTCTAGCTCATGCCTCTCTTGTTTCACATTCAATATTTATTATAGCCAAATTCCAGAGGCCACTTCTGGGACAGCCTTTCCCAAACGCCCCAGGGGAGAAGAGAGGTGACTGTTCCTCAGCTTTACCAGCTTCCAGCCATTGTTGCTTAGAATTCGTCATCCCTCTTCCAAAATGCCTAAAACAGCAACCTAGCCAATAAACTCACAGAGACTGACGGCTTCCAAAGCCAGACCCAGCGTACTACAACTGAGGTGGAAAAACACACACATGCTTGCCTGAACACCACTAGGGCTGAGTGACTAATTTGCCTTATTACATTGTTTTTCCCTTTCTACTGTTTTCTCTCTATTTCAGGAAAGTTTTGTTTTTTTTCTTGTTGACTCATAGGTTCTGAGACTTTCCTCACTTTTTGTACTGTGGCACACAGAGTTCTGCACTTGAACCTCTTGCTGGTTAAGTGAAATGGACCAAAATGATTTCTCTGCAAGGTGCTCTTGCTATCAGGATATCAATCACTATCCTAATGTGGACATTTGCTCTGATTATGCATAACAATCTAAGAAAGAAATAAGCCTTTCACAGTAAAACCTCTGCTTCCCCATTCTAAAGAAACTGAGCGAGCTGGGAGCCTTTAGAACCCACCTGTGCCACCTGCGCCCTGGGTGAGGAGACACACCATTTGCTTTGCAAAAGCCATCAATGCAAGAAAGCCCATAGGGCATAGGGATTGCTGGGTGCTGTCATGTGGTCTGTCTTGCTCAAAGGGAGGCATAACTTTGGGAAAGCCCTGGAATCTAAACTGAGGTCAAAACATGCCCACTGAGAAAAGTACTGTAAAGTCCTGGGTGAGGCGGTGGCAAGTGCTCCCAGACACCAGCAGCTCCCAGTGTGCCCAGCCTTATGGTAAATGCATTACCTAGGACATCCTGTTGAATACAATCCAATTTGCCTAGCAATCCTAGGACGGTGATAAGATTATTTTACAGTGGAGAATCTGGAAGCTCAGGGAGGTTAAGCAAAGTGGTACCACTAGCATATGGCAGAGAAGATCTGTCTGAATCAGAGGTGTGCTCTCAACCACCTAGCTAAATTGGGATATGTATAAACACATACAATCTCAGGGGTAGTTAGAATCCAGAAAATCTGGAACACTGGTTCGCAGACAGGCATAGGGTTTTTGGCAGGACTTAAGGCTACAGGGACCCCGAGAGAATCAGCCCGCAAAGCCCTGGTAGAAGAGGAGTATAACTGAATGGGGGCTGTGTTCCAGGGAAGAAGGAAGTCGTGAGTGGGGGAGGAGGCTCAGCAGCCACGCACCTTACTCTGCCTCCAAGCACTATCACCCAACCCCCACTCCCCACTTTGAGTTATTTCCATGGTCATTGCATTCCTGGGATACTGGCCCATTTCCAAAATCTAACTCCAACACTTATCCAGCAATGGTCTCCCCTTAGAAGCCTGCACTGCCTCTCTACATCCTAATCAGCCCCTGCCTGGGACTCTAGCTGCCTCACCCCGCTGTCACCCATACACTCACACATGTGACTCTTCCCCTGGCACCCAGGAGTCTGGCCAGGAACTAAACACCCATTTCTAGCACCCCGAGGCACTCCCTGTCTCCTTTTCTCCTCTCTGCCTGGCGCTGCCTTGATCTTACTCACCCACTTGTAGGCTGCCAGCTCATTCCAAGTCCTACAAGCTGCCAAGGAGGCCTTGGGGGTACTAGGTTGTAGTGCTCTCAGAAACCACAGGCCCCAGAGCAGGGCTGGGTGTGCCCCGCAGTCTCCAGCACCTCAAGTCTGGCCTCCTCTGAGTACCGCTTTCCTGCATACAAACTTCTCAAGATCTCCAAGATGCAGAGGTGGTTGCTGGAGGACCGTGCCTCCATGCCCCGCTCTCTCCCAATCTCCCTGCCCTTTCCTCGAGTCGCAGCGCTCCGAGGGTTAACAGGCAGCTGCAGCCAGGGTGGGCAAGGCTTGAACTTTTCTCTGCGCTCGGCTCGGCGCCTGCCGGGGAAGACAGCAGAGGCGGCAGTCGGGGCTTAGGGCCGGATCTCCTGCTAGCTAGACAAAAGGGGAGAAGGGGGCTTGGGCCTGCGCCCTGGCGGTGGCGACGCGCTCCGGTCCTTCCTAGCCCACGGTTGGGGAGTGAAAGGACCCCTATGCCGGCGCGCCCCGCGCCATTGCCTGTGAGCGACAGCAGCAGCCGGGCTGCGGCGCACGGTTGGCCTGAGGCACCTTCCAGTGCGCCACCGGGCTGGGTGAGGGGGCCCGGGAGCTCCGGGGAGTAGGCGATGCCAGGCCGGCCACTCCAGCGGTGGAGCTGCCTTCCTTCCGGACTCGAGCGGCGCTTCCCCTGCACCGCGCTTCGCTAAGGAAAACCAAGACTCCTTGGAGTCGCCTCGGACTGAGTCTTTCTCCAAAGCTTGAGTCTCCGGCAGAAGGCAAATCAAAGTTACCCTACTTGATGTAGCCAAGAATGTCGCCCCTCCTTGCAAAATAAAGGACTCGGGAGCATTCTCTTCCTCCCCTGAAGGAAAACACACACACACACACACACACACACACACACACACACACACACACACACACACACACACACACACACACACGCGAGAGCGAGCACACCCCCACCCCCAGCATTCTCTTCCTCCCCTGAAGGAAAACACACACACACACACACACACACACACACACACACACACACACACACACACGCCAGAGCGGGAACAGCCCCCCACCCCCTTCAGGCCCCTAGGATCTCCAACGCTGGGAATGACCTCCCTTCCCTGTCTTTATCGCTACTCAAGGAGTCCGCCAGCTCCCCAAAAGCCCCCTTGCTATACGATCGGCATGCAGAAACGGGGCGCGGGGCGCGCCCGGCAGCCCCTATTCCCTACCTGGGACAGGAGAACGCACAGGACGAACGGAGTTCTAGGCTGCATTTTGCCCGACTAGAAGCTCCCGGCGGCGTTTTCATTCATGCACGCGGCCGCACTGAGCATATTTTCCGTGGGAGCCAGGCTTTGAGGAGAGGCTCTGCCTCACCAGCCAGCCAACTTCCCAAATAGATCAGCGGCAGCATCACGAAAGCATTGGGTAGAGGCTGATGACCAGGACCAATGGCTTTACAAGACGGATTCCTTCATAAAGCTCCCTCGTTTTGCATGGCAGATACGGGGCGAGCACCTCGCACAGAGCTAGACCCTCTGAGGAGGCAGCCCATTTGCTTTTTTGGACTGTTGGGGCCCAGCCTCACAAATCACGCTGGGTAACGCCAGCCGCTTCCACTTTTACAGAGAATGGAATTGCACTGGAGACTATCGGCCACTTCCAGCCCAGTGCAAAAAGATCTTCTTTATTAAAATGTTAATAAGATCCACTTTGTTTCCAATAAATCAAATAAAATGATCCCAGCAGTTCCAGCCCTTTCTACGCCTGGAAAGACTTGGCAATGGATTTTTTTCTTCTTTTTCTCTCTCTCTCTCTTTTTTTTTTTTTCCAATGTGGCCCAAGTCATGAAGGTGTTTGGTGTTTCCCTACCATCTCACAAATCACAAAAACGACAGATCAATTCTAGCTTGAAGAAAAAAAAATCCATCAAGGGGCGATAGATTTTATTAACTGCTCAGGTGAGAGTCTGACTGGCCTCCTACTACACAAATGTACATCTGGCACCCAAGTTGGGGCCATGATTTGAGGAAATCTTTTTTTTTTTCCCCTTTATGAATGTGATCTCTTAATTGCTCCTAGCTATCCCTAGAAACTCAGAACAGTAGTAGCCACTGCTTAGGGATTTTATAAATGGGGTCCTATGGGAATGAGGGTAAGAGGAGTATCTTGGTCTGCTTTTCTTAGTAGGAATCTAAGAATATGCATTAAAGACCTTTCTTTGTCATTTCCATGCAGCCTCCTAAAAAGGATTTAAGGTGTTCTATAAAGAACATTTGTGCAATAGAATTTATGCAACCGAAATAGAAAATGTGAACCAGGAGGAAAAATTCAGAAAACTGAAATGCTAAACCAAAACTCTAATATATTTGCTCTGATTTGGATCTGAGCTTCCTGAGGACTAAAGCAATAAAAGAAACACGTAAGTTACATAGTTCTTACTATAGAAATATATATACAAATATTTTTCTGACATAATTTCTCTTGATGCTGAATAGTGGAATAAACATATAATGTGATATCTAATATAACAGGACACTGAGCAACAGACCATGCTAGGATCCAGTGAGCTGAGCTGTATTCTCAGCATCTGGCACAGGGCCTGGAACATGGAGATGGGCATTAGTATGGGTTAGATAGATGTCTAGGCTTAATCGAGAAGTAGTAAGGGTGGGTGGGGCAAAGATTTCAGAGCCACATTGCCTAAGCTTAACCCCCAGCTCTGCCACTGACTAATAAGTTACTCTGTGCCTCTGTTTGACTACTGGTTAAATGAAAATATAAATCATAATGAACTCATAGAGTTGTAGTGAGGATTAAGTAACAAAATAACCATTCAATAAATATAAAATGATGCACTTTTAAAAATTTCTTAGTTGTCAGCTGTTCTATCACAAGGTCACCTCATGTGGTTCCAAGGTCACTAATGAAGATGCAATGTCATCTGACCACCTGGCTGCCTTAGCCAGTGCTGGCCTGACAGATGGCAATGTTGGCCAAACAGCCCCCAGAAAAGCCCAGAAAAAGTGAATTTTGCTGCTTCTTCCAGCTTTCCACTTTCCTCTTGTCTAAGTAGACATCACCCCTGAGCTTCTGAGAAGTACAGTCACAGTGTTTGATAGATCGTATGCTTGTCTTAGCTTGGAATCCATGTATATGGAGATCCATACCCACATTGCTCACCAATAAGAGTAAAGCAAGGTACTTTGGAGTCAGATCGTCTTCAAATCAAGGCATCCCAAAATGTCCTGATTTTTCTCCATTGAGAGAGAGAAAGAGAGAGAGAGAGCGCAGCGAACACTTTGGAAAATGATAAACCCTGATAAGGGGTAAAGATGGCAGAAAGATGATGTTCTAGCCACATTTCCACAAGCAGCCACTTAGAGAAGCCTCTAAGAGTAAGGTGTTTTCAAGACTGCACATGTACAAAGTACAAAGCAGTATTATTGATTTTATAGTTCTGGTCCTTTCTGTGGTCTCCCTATACCATCATCCCTACTGCTGCTCACCATGCAGGTCCAGTCTTCCCCCTTCCTGGCACATGGCAGAGTTGCACTTGCTGCCCCCTTGTGGTTAGCATGAAAATGTATTGACTGGTTCTAGCCAATAAGCTGTGAGCAGAAGTAATGACCAATGCCACTTCAGGGCTGGGACATTGAATGGCCAGTGTGAGACAGGCTGCTTTCCCTGGAATAGGTGCTGAGATGAAGATTTGTACAGGTGGCTTATTGGGAAGTTGTTCTCAGAATCAACAACTACAAGAGGGAGGGAAACAAGATTGGCAGAGGGAGGAGGTGAACACAATTGCTGTGACAGTAGAGGCCTCAACCAATCCCAGGGGAACTCTGAGGCTAGAGTGATCCTTCAGAGATGACCCTAATAGAGTCAAGGGGCTACATCTTCATGCTGTTGGTGGGCCAGCTGTTGGATATTCCCGCAAGGAGGGGAATAATTTGGGATGAGGCAGCTTGGTTCGGCCAAAGGCAATATTCCATATTTCATTATTTATACAAAAAACTAAAGCACTGACCTACAACAGGTAATGGGAGGCTGTGAGTCCCAAGCTGCAGATGACCTCATGAATCTGACGGTACCAGTAAAGATAGATGTAGATTTGCCTGATCAAAATTCTGCTGACTCTGTCTCTACCCAGGAGCTATACAGGCATTTGCCAAGGTCCTGGGGTTTTGTCCTAAGCTATTCCGTGTGCAAGCAGAGTGGCTCCAACCAACCTCACCTGATTACAAGTGGGCGTGCCCAAAAGGCCAGTTCCCAGCCCTTCCTACCTTAGTCCCTATACCTTAGATTTTTAGAGGCTGGAAGGTATTAACTTGCAGAATCTTCTTAGGCCTTGAGGCTCACCTCTAGAAACCCAAGGAAGCTAGGAAGCTGAAAAAAGATTTGTCCACAAAATGAGACCTGGGTGGGATCTCCAGACTTCACTTATATTGGAAAATTTACTTTTACTCTCCAAGCCTCAGTTTCTTCATCAATAAAATGGAAATAATGACATAACAACACTCCAAGGACTGTTGTAAAACATGATGTTATTTTTTTCCTTCTATACCCTACTCCCCTCTACTCTTAGAGAATATGAATTTCATCAAAACATGATATCAGTTTTTGTTCAACGAAAACAAGAGAAAAGTTATTTTATTCCAATGATAAAAGGCCTTTGAAGAAGAAATTTATTTTTGTTTGTTTGACCTTGCTTACCCAAAGGAGGGTTTTTTGGCTGATGGATTGACTGATGATGGCAAGTAAATACTGATGCTTAAAACCACCTCCTACCTATTCCTGCTCTCCATCCCGCCCGACCCCCCCAACCCACCC